TGAACAGAGAGTACAGTATCACAGAAATGATTTTTGCAAAAAAACATCCATAATATTTTCAACGAACGATTACGTCATGATCAAGCGTAATCAATGCTAATCATCATCGCGTGGCGCACACTGTGTGCCGGACTACATAAAAAAGTCTAGTCTGTGTACGAGACTCGTACTACTAGGTACTCGCACAGTCAGTAGCTGCAGTAGTATCAGCTAGCTATCAGCCTATCGCCGGAGCAGCGGTAACCATGGTAACTAGCGCAACATGACAGATTTCTCTGAACGCTGGATCCACAAACAAACAAAAAAGCTGTCGCGGGTTGTGCCGGGGTGAGAAATCAGCAATCAAAGGAAGAGCTTGAGCTGAGGACTCAAACAATATCATTGGCAACTTAATGGCAAGCCTTCATTCCAGAACGTCAGCGAACTGCACGGACAGTGCAGGTAAGACGGGTGCCGGCCGCAGCGACAAGCAGTGCTCCAAGACTGTGTGTGGGCAGGACTAGACTCGGTAAAACCAGAAATTACGCCCAGCATGTGCAACAGCTAGCTAGCTAGTGGTTGAGTTAAAATCCTGGCACGAACAGACTGTCAGTCTTCGGAGCACATGTGATGCTAATCGAGCCTCGTGGAGTCGTGGCCTCCTTGTGTGTGCGTTGAATGCCGGACTGGAGGCCGGTGCAGGGCTTTCGTTGGCACTTCAACAGCGCCTCCAGCGGCGGCTATCCTGGCCAGCCGGCGCATTGCCCGGGACAGCATCGCTACAGATAGTCAGTAGTTGAGTCAGAGGATAGCGTGCGGACGTGGTGACGGAAGCCCATCTACACACAGCCACTGCCTCCCGGCGTTCTATGGTATGATCCAGTCGTTGCACCGGCTTTGTACTGTGTGATCACCCAGTCACAGTCTAGTCAGTAGATAAGAAGTACAAGCAGGTCACTTCCCATTGGAACAGTAGCACATGTGCCACTGAACACAGCAACAGCGGTGGGCATCTCAGGTATGGAGACATTCTGAGTTGGGCGCTGCTGCACCATTGCTGCACCGGATCGAGTGAACGGAACATCCACGAAAGCCGCCTGACTGAACAGTGGTCGTGCTCAGGTAATTGCACTAACGTTGGCTGAAGCTATGGCAACGGTGAGCCAGCATGACTGGGAGTCAGCCGGCCTGGTCTGTCCAGACTTGCCACCCCCATCGGCGTCTTCATCGCGTGAAGCACGTAAGCCGAATCATGCTGCGCTGAAGTCGTTGTTCAACCAGTACGATGAACAGCTGGAGGGCTACTTGACTGCCAGTCAACTGCAGGAGTTGTTCAACACGCTGCGTGATCTGGATGACATCACGGGCACAGCCCTGAGCGTGGAGCAGGCCAAGGCAACTATAGACGTATGCTGCGCCGCGGATACCTGCGAGTTTCGCGAGATGATCGCCTGCCTACGCGAGCTGGACCGCCGGCTGGACATCCTGCGCAATGTCCGCTGGGAGTTCGACATGCTGGACCTGGAACGGCGAGGACTTCTGACCGTGGAGCAGACACACTTTCTGTTTCAAGCCACACACAACGAGCGGTTCTCGGAGCAGCAATTCACTAACTTCATCCATAGTCGACCGCGGCTCAACTCGGCGATTAGCTTTGAGGAGATTGAGCTGGAGATTTGCAAGATACCAACTATACAGCAGGTTCTGTTTGAGGCCGCCGAGGCAAAGAGGAAAGAAGCAGGTCAGTGAGGCAGGCGCATGTTAATGCATGCGGTTGAAAATTAATAGCCTGTGTGTAGTTGACGGATTGACCAAAGGCTGCGGGAGCCTATCAAGGGGCTTCCCTGTGGAAGGAAAGATGAGGAAGAGAGGGAAGGAAAATGAATGCTATGAATTGTATGGCTTGGTTTGCATGTATATCAGGACTGCCGGAAGCAGTTTTTGATTGGTCCGGTAGTATCGCGGCCGTTCATACTTTTGTGTATGGTATGGCGGGTACGCCCCCCCCCCTTCCATAGTAGGAAACATGTGTTGGTGGCTGAACAGTTGGTCCGGTACTAACCTGACCAAGCGAACCGGTTCCGGCGGGCCTGTATATGCATATACTAATCGATGTCCGGGCAGCTACACTGTACTCGCAGCAGTTTAGACCTTGTTAGGAATCAAGAAGAGGAGTTCAGACCATTCATGCATTATCCGGACTCGACCTGTACACATTTATGTATCCGCGGCAAATGTCACTCAACATTGTAGTGATGATGGATGCTGAATATTTTAAATTTTAAAAAAATGATTATGTTGGGCTCCCCCCCCCCCCCCCCCCAATCTGCTTCAGATTGGCTTCCTGTCCCTATTCAGCATCATTGCTTTCTTGACTCTCTGAATGTGGGCCTATTGAACGTGTATGCATGATTATTGTTTGGTCTAGCTCGCGTGGAGAAGGCCAAGCTGCAAGCTACCCACCGCCAAGCGGAAGAGGAGCGGAGGCAGATGTCCTTGAGGATTGCAGCCCTGGCTCGACGTAAGTGTTTGGCCTCAAACAGGTCTTAGCAGAGCCCATGTACAGTAAAACCTGTCTAAGATGACCGCTCAAGGGACCTTCAAAATGTGGTCTTTGTTACCAGGTGGTCTCCTTATCCAGGGTCATTAGATTGGAAATAGAATCTATTCCGTTTCTCCCCGGAACCGGGATTATCGCCACACAAAGATCTCCAGGACACAATGTTTACACTGACTCATGATCTGAAAACAGTCACAACTCTCCAAGAACTCAAACCTGAACATCTCCACAACTAGGCTAAAACCAACTCTGGCCTAACAAAAGATAGCAATAGCTAATAACAGTGCACGCACATACATGGTATAGAAAGACCCTATGGCAACACTCGACCATGTAATGTGATACAACAATAGAATGCAGACGTCTAGACACCAGAGTACTGAATAGACCTGACACATGGCCTTCTTGATGGGAATGCATGAATAGAAGCACACATGGATCATAGCTCTAACACATCCGCCTATCCATATCACGCATGAATGATTGTACTCTAACAGCCAGCATGCTGCACCAGTCTAACTGCAACATCCTCCCCCTCTCACACGAGGAGTTCCGAGGGTGAAACAAAACAAGAAACCAAAAAGGCAACCCCCTCAGAGCCTAAAAGAACAAAAGATGAACGATGGGCTCTACAAACATACGTGTAGCTAAATATGCAAAGACTAAACATATGAAAGTGACCAATCACACCACAGTACTAGAGTATTCCGACCGAGTCAATAATGAATATGTCTCTTTCTCATTCGCCGTCTGCAGTCAATGGCACTAATCGCTGAATGGCACGTCGCTTCACCTTCTTGTTGCTCAGCCGTACGTCCACAACTCTCACCAGGCCATCCTGACCCGGATGTACTCCCACCACTCTTCCAAGCGGCCAATGACCACGAGATATGCCATCTTCCATAACCAGCACCAGATCGTCTGCCTTCAGATTCGGCTTCTGTTGGAGCCACTTCTTCCGCATGTTGTAGGTCACGACAAGCTCTTTCTGCCAACGCCTCCACACATGGTCCACTTGCAATTGAAGAGCCATCCAGCGTCTACGAGGGTGAACATTCTTCTCTCGGCAGGCGGCCTCCTCCATTTGCGGACGTGGAAAGACGCCTTTCCGAGCAGACTCTGGACTTCCTGTCGAGTGTTGATGGCGGACTCCACAGTCGGTAGTGAGTCGAGCAGGTCATCAACGTAAAACGCTTCATCAACTGCTTCCCGAGCCAACTTGCTGAAGGATGCGCCGTGCTCTGCTGACGTTGCCTTCAGAGCCCGACATGCCAGGTATGGCGATGCCTTCAGCCCAAATACCAACCGAGAGAACTCATACATGGCGGCTGGCTCATCCGGTGTGTCGCGCCACAGGAAGCGCAAATACTTGGGATCTTCTGGAGCGATTTCCACCTGCAGAAACATCTCTGCAATATCGCCGACTAGCGCTATAGGGCTTGAAAGTCCTACGTCACGGGATCACGTGCAACATGAACTGGATCCACTACCCACTCGAGCTCTTGCGACCAGCTTTGAAAATAGTGGAGGAGACATATATTTCTTTCGATTTCGACCAGAAGCCTAGGCTGCTGTCTTCCCCCTGGCCCCCAGTTCTGCGTTTTGTTTGTTTTAGAATGTCTTTAGTACCGTTATCTAGCATCGCCACTTTTTTCAGTGGAGAACCAAGGCTGATCCAGCGTGGAGAAAATGCACACTCTTCGAACCGCGTGGAATCATTTCTGTTTCACCATGAGCTTGGGCACATTACTGCCAAGATCCACGCAAGCATGAAGGACAAGAGATATGATGTGGAGGTGAGCAACCTAGCACTAAGCAACTGTTGTGCCGTTCCTAGCTGCTTACAGTCTCTTCTATCGACCTGGACACCCTCACATCGTCTTTGAATATTTCTACTATTTTTATATTCAAATTTTTGTGTAGATCGAACTTGGTTCTGAAGGTGGCGTTGTACGCGCTTCGTGCACTTGTCCCAAAGGCCAAGGACGGTGCCACCACATGGCTGCAGCCCTTGTCTACGCGAACAAGAATGTGAGCAGCACGGACAGGGAGTGTTCTTGGACTGTACGGAAGGGAACTAGTGAAACAAAGTAAGGATTTTTAAGCAAATTATTGTTGATTATTAGTTTTGTGAAAGTAGAAAACTGGTGCCTCCGATGTGACTGCAACACGTACATGTATTGGTTTCATGAAATTCTTTGCCTCGATGTTTAGCTTACTGGCAATCCAGCATGTGCGACAACCAGTTGGCAGGTGTTACTGTTACTGATGTGGAGGATGCTTATCAATATTAGCAAGAGTAGATAAACAAGAGTGTGCAACTCCGGATCTCTCCTGCACAATCTGCAGATACCGCGGCCCGCGGGCAGAATTTTTTGTTGACGTCACCTTTTTTTACAGAGCATGCGGATTTTGCCGCAGGGCAGTGTAAGAGCAGGTGCTGGGCACCGACCTTGTAATGTAAAGCCTGGCCAAGTGCACGAGGCAAAACTTCCCAAAAGGCTCGCAGCGTGTCCGTCATAGAAAATATTACGTCAACAAAAAATTGCGTCGTGGGCCAACCCATCCTCGAGTTGCACACTCTTGTTTATATACTTATTGATATTAGTATATGCACGTCCGCGTTTACGTCAACAGTAAGTCCACGTATTCGCATATGCCAGAAGACAGGCAGACTCTTGATATTAGCAAGAGTATATAACCCCCAAGAGCGTGCAACTCATGATACCCTTTCTATGGGGTACGCCGACGGCGAAAACTCACGTCACGTGATGCAGTGTCGCAGTTGTATGTTTCCAGCCCGTTTTTAGCGAGCAACGGAGTAATAAAAAGCACTCTGTGTGTGTGTGTGTGTGCACGCATTTTATCTGCTTTGTAGGACTGTGGATGACATTTTCCCGAAGTCGAAGCCGTTTTGTGCCATTTCACGCCCTGTGGATAATGAGGACAGGGCATGGTTTCACCATCAGCTTGGGACACTTGACAGGTGGAAGGGTTTTCGTTGGCTGCTAGATCCCGAGGTGAAAGAAGCGGACAATTTGCCGACGGAGACGGTTGAAGGTATTACCCTGAGTCAAGGATTCCTGGAAGCAGAACACAAAGTCACCTATGTGTGTACCAGGCTATCCGTATCTGCTGCCCAAATTGTAGCCGTGGAAAAAGCAACACGTGGCCAAAACTCGAATGCTACTTGGTCGCTTCTACGCAAGGGCAGAATAACGGCATCCAACTTCGGTCCTGTGCTGAAGACTATCTCATCTGGCCGCCAGCCATCTAAATCTTTATTTACTCGCCTTCTTGGTCAGTATGATTTGTCTGGGCAAAAGGCCATCCAGTGGGGTCTCATGCACGAAAGTACGGCTGTTGCATGCTATGAGGAGTGTGAATATGTGTCTGTGAGATCCAGCGGCTTATGGCTTGCACCATGTGGCCTCATTGGTGGTTCCCCAGATGGCGTAGTTAGCGAAACAAAGCTCATCGAGGTCAAGTGTCCGTACTCGGCAAGATCGACATCTCTTGCAGCTATGGCGAAGGAAAAGACCTTCTTCTTGTCAGTGTCTTCTTCCTCTCCTGCTAACTTTTCCCTTGATTTGTCAACTGAATCTGGATGGAATTATTTCCATCAAATCCAAGGTAACTTATGTCTGACAGGTCGTGAAGTATGCGACCTTGTCGTGTGGACTCCGTTGGAGACGGTGATCATCCCAATTCGGGCTGACCCGACCTGGTCAGGAAATTTGGCTCGGATCGAGGAATTCTACAAAACCTTTTTCTTGCCTGTCTTTCTGGATGGTGGTGTGTAGTCAATCCTAGGATTGCAATGGCCTGTGTAACTCTTCCCTTCTATATCCAGCCATGTCTTTCTTTCCACCAAAACAGCGTACAGTAGAGTACAGTGAGAACATCTGTATGTTTGTTCTAAATTGAAGTTCTGCCACTGTGTGTGTAGGTGTGGCTGGGTGCATGTGTGTGTGTGTGTGTTTGTGTGTGATGCGTTGTGTATGGGTGTATAATTCTGTATGTGTGGGTGCATGTGCGTGTTCGTTTATGCATGAATATTGTAGGTGCATGATAAACAGCACCCCTCTTGCTTTAGTCACCTGTGCCATGGCTGCAATCATAACTCTACACCTTCCTCTTCCTTCAACACCACCTGAACATTCCACACAATTGCACCTACGAGCTGACAATTATATTATTACCGTAGCTATGCAAAAGACGTTACTTCAGTAACCTCTGACGCTAGCCAAGGTCATCACAGCTTTAACTTTGTGTTTGTTTGTTTGTGCCATCGGCATGCCTTGCGCTATCCCGTACCTGTGCCGTACCGTACCATCAAAGACAGCTCGTACCTGTGCCGTACCGTACCATCAAAGACAGCTGGCCACAATATTCAAATAGGGCTTTCAAATGCAAGATCATAACGTGAAGCAACTTGGAAGAATGAGTATGTATGCGATGTGTATCGGGGGAATGCATGCGATCGCCATAACACATGGCTGAAATGTTTATAGTTTCCAGAACTACATTTCTCGTCACAATCAGTGGGTCAAGATAATTTTGGCAAAACGCACCAAAAGGATAAACTACTGTTTTCGTGCCAATATACAGAGATGGCTATCTTTTATGTGCCCAACAAGCGTGGAAAGAAAATTCGCTGCAACTTTCATGTCAGCTGGGAGAATAGCGATTAGGGCACCACGCTCGCCATGGGCATGGCTGTCGAAGACTTGAGCATAACCAGATGGGAAAAATACCAGAAGAATGGTGTAGGGATTTTGAATTAAAGAGGCAGGAAGAACAGATTGGGAAAGAATAGCCTGATCCTTACACTTCTTTAACAACTTTGATAAACCTTCCTCATTTCGTGCACCAAAATCGGAACGAGGTGCCACCCGAAGTGGCTTGCCTGGTATGACATCAAGCGCATCATAAATGGCAAGGAGATTGTTCCCCAACTT